CAGAATTATGATAATTTGAGCATCAGTTGGATACTGGGCTCGGTGGGACTGAGATGGGTCTCGAAGTATTGACTGGGAGACAAAGTTGTCGGTTTTTTTCACAGTAAAGTCTGAAAATTTCGAAAACCACGAATATTTTCAAGAGATATTTTTTCCTGAAAAATTAATTTCTCATTGAAAATGTCCTCTGACATTTTTCTGGGATTACACTTTAACGAGATGAATCGATAATTGGGAAGAACAATTTGATGATGAAATTTCGAAACAAATTTGCTGATTACTTTGAAAATATGTTGCTAACCAGTGATGGCAAGAGACATTCTTCTCGATTTGTTTTGAGGCGATATCACTCAATTAAAAAAATGGATTGCAGATTTATCGTAACTTGAGCATCAGTTGGATACTGGGTTTGGTGGGGCTGGGATAGGTCCCTGAATAGATTCTTGAGGCTGTCAAAGCGATTAAAATGTGATAGCTCGCGACATCTGAACGAGCATAGGTACATTTACCTTAGCAGATTCAGAGAAAAACGTCAAGAAATTTTCATTAAGAGAATTTAATTTTCTATATTTTCTATATGACTCATTGTCTTCACTGAGAGAAATATCATCATAATATCACAAAACGTTTCTTGCGCCAAATATCTCATCTCTTAAGGATAAATTTCTTGGGATAAGAATTCCGAATAATATGTCAGACATGACTTGAACATGAACATTTCATGATAAATTGAGAATTTCGTGCCACTAGAAATCGATTTTTTCGTGTCAGAAGAAGGGAAAATGACTAAAAATATTAAAATCTTCGATTCAGTGAATCATGAATCAGAGACTTTGATATTGAATGAATAGAGAGTTTACGCAGAAGAAAACCTCCAGACATTACAAAAATATAGCCGTCGCTTACCCTCAATCGCTTTGAGTTCGAACGGAAGCAATATCTTCTTCTCCTTCTGTCAAACTATTTTTCCGTTTCAAGGAATATCATCTCCTTTCGAAAAAAACCAACGTTTCATTCAGTACCTTCCTTTTTATCCCAAATACCACCTTTTTATCCTAAATACCACACAAATAAATTGATCAAATACGTCTTTTTCGCTCAAGAAATGATTCTTGTGATACGTCGATTCTTCTCTTAGTGTACATCACATTCTCTCCGAGGCAATGTCTCCTTCGCAGGAATGTCTGTTTTCCCAGCTCTGCATGAACCCAGACGGCAATTGAAGAACATTTCTTGACTTCCAGGAACTCAAACCCTGAAAGGCTACCCGATGTTCCAGAACCACGCCTCGTCCTCCGACAAGGAGATGGCGGACGATCCCCCTCGCGATCTCCGCGACCGCATGCCCCTGCGTTCCCGCGAGAACCACCCCCCGCCGTCAAAGTCCACGCGCCACATCCGCGACCGTTCGACCCTCCCGCGTGATCGTGCACCCCTCCCCCGTGACCGCCCCTCCCTCACCGAGCCGGAGTCCAAGAACCTCCGGGAGTCCCGCCACCCGCCCAAGGACCTGATCCCAAAAATTACAACGCGAAGTAAATCCGAAGTCCCGAAGTCGCCCTCCGAGGAGAAAGAGGTCGTCCGAACCCGCAAAACCGACAGTCCAAATCGCCTCCGCGAGGGCCCGGTGACGCGCCTCTGCGGAATGCTCGATAAAGACGAGAAAATGAAATCCGAGCCCCCGGAGAGGAACGACGACAGCTCCCAGGAGTCCGAGAAGCCCGAGAACAACGGCAATTCCGACAATGACGACGGCTACGAGGACATGTACACTAGGATAAAGAGGACGCGCAGGACCTCCCAACGGCAGTTGGACCGCAGCAAGAAGATGTCGGAGAGCGACATGAGCGAGTCGTCGGACTCACCAGGGCCACGGAAATACAGCCTGCGTCAGAAGAAGCCCACGGTGGACAGATTCCAGGTACAGATGCTTATGCATTCACATAACTCGTCATATGACGCTCGTCACAATTCAGTGGTGAAGTGGTAAACTGGTTTAAGGATGTTCGACACCCTTTTAGCCAAAATTGACGTTGTTTTCATTTTTCTGGCAAATTATCGATGGGAGTGACGTGAAAAAATATAACGATTTTGTGGTTTGTCATTCTTTAATGGCTCACGAAGTTGCGTAGTGGTGCGATAATTTTCATGCGTTTTTTCTACAGTTTTGTGATTCTTTTTAAAAGTTTAGAGAAAACGCAGGAAAATGTTCGCACCACCTTAAAATTTCGTCAGTCATTAAATAATGACAAAACGCAAAAACGTTATATTTTTTCACGTCAATTCCATCATAAGTTTGCCAGAAAAATTAAAAAAACGTGAATTTTGGCAGAAAGGGTGTAGAACATCCTTAAGTCGACTCAGATGTTCGCTGAGTTCTCGAGCAATATCTTCGAATCTAAGAGAAATAGCGAAGTTTTCATTATAACCTTTTTTGTAGAGCGAAGTGAAAGATACAGAAAAGGTTATTACAAAAAATTTGCTATCTCCCTTAGGTTCCGAGATATTCATTAAAAACTGAAGAATAGTCTGAATCGATTTGAACCGATTTACCGCTTCGCTAATGAATTTTCCGAGAAAAAATGACTTTCATTTTTCGTCTATATAGGGGAGAGTAAAATTTTTTTATTAGCCATTTTTTAAAATTAATTTTTGTATCAAGTCCCAAGGGGAGACCAGATTGGGAAAAGGAAAATGTGATACTTAATTTCAATCGAATGAATAAAAAAGGTCTCTTTGATTCATTATCAATATTTATAGGGTATTCATGAGAAAATGAAATTTAATGAATTCCATTTCTTCATTTCAACAAATGAATAGATCAGCGCGCGCTCTCGCGCGCATAGATCTTGTTTATATAGATTGTTTGGCAACAATTTGCTTCCAAATTATTTGTGAGCATTATTTGTAGTTGGGAAATTTGTGCTCCAGAATCTCAAAAATGATGGCCATTTTACATCTCTAATTCCAGGCGAACGCTGAGCCTGGGAGAAGATCCATCCGCGCGCTTCGGAGTGTTCTGACCAACTCCATGCGCAGGAGGAAGCATCGGAGCAAGAGCTCGTCCTCATCGGACTCTGATGATCCCGAGCCCCAGAGGTATGACAAGAAGAAGGGGAAGAAGGCTCGGCAGACAGCTGTTCCCCAGGGCGGACCGCCCGACAAGAAGGCGGATATCAGCCCGATTACGCTCGATACAAACATCAGGTGAGACATTAAGGTGTTTCTGATTCTAGTGGATATGGGTGATTTAAGGATGTTTGTCTAAAATCGCAAGGACTTAAAATTATTTTTTTTTTAAACTGAGAGATGAAGATATTGCCTTCACTTTGATTCAAATGTCAATCTACCAATGAATGTTTATTATTTAGAAATTAAATAGACAAAATGCACCAAATGCATTCAAATATTTCCTCTTTGCCCGGATACCCCAGATTTTTCTCTGGCCATTGGATTCAGTATGATTTCACACATTACCTTCTACTTTTATTTTTAGAGTCTTCTAGTAGGGGAATTATCAATTTCATAAGCGCCCGTGTATCAGAAAAAATTAGTTTTTCATTTCTGTCGAAACTATTGAGATTAATTTTTTTTAACGTTGGAAAAGTTCTGCTGTCAGCCGAAAAAATTGCAGAATTTTCCTTGACCATGAAAAAAAACACATTTACCAAAAATTTACCAACACTGGCTAAACATCCTCAATTAATAATTAAGTCCAGATAAGTAAAAAATCAACAGTTTCACCGCAATCTCCCTCTAAGTTTTAAAAATCGTGGAATATTACAGTGAGATTTCTCATGCATTGAAGATCGATTACATATGTCTAAAAATGAATCATTAGTGCAAAAAAAATAATTTTTTCTTGTTCGTTTACCCCGCAGACGCTTAAAATGTTAAAAATAGTCCAGGGCGTCCAATTTTTGAGCTACAGAGGTTTTTTTTTCAAATAAAAATTTGCGCCATTCATGTAACATAGGCAGAAAAATTATCTTTAAAATATTAAAAATATATTCTCGATTCTTTCCGAAATATTTTTCGGGCTATTTTACATGAATGGTGCAATTTTTCATTAAAATAGTAACTAATTCGTAATTGTTATTGCACATATGTTTCCACAAATTTTGAAGAAAAACCTCTGTAGCTAAACAATTTTTTTCAACATTTTAAGCGTTTGCGGGGTAAACAAACAATAAACAATTAATTTTTTGGGCCTAATTCTTCGTTTTTAGACATACATAATCGAACTTCAATGTATGCGAAATCCGAAAAATATTCCAATAGCCCGCGACTTTCAAAACTCATAGTAGCCTCCCCTTAACAGAACGATTAATATCCCTCTTACAGATTCAACGACGTGGGAGGATTAGAGTCCCACATCCACTGTCTGAAAGAGATGGTGGTGTTTCCCATGATGTACCCAGACGTATTCGACAGATTCCACATAACTCCACCGAAAGGGGTCCTCTTCCACGGTCCCCCCGGCACCGGTAAGACCCTGATCGCAAGAGCCCTAGCCAACGAGTGCTCCCAGGGCTCTCGAAAGGTCGCTTTCTTCATGAGAAAAGGAGCTGACTGTCTCTCAAAATGGGTCGGCGAGTCTGAGAGACAGCTGAGACTTCTGTTCGAACAGGCGCAACAGATGAAGCCCTCCATAATATTCTTCGATGAGATCGATGGCCTGGCGCCTGTAAGAAGCACCAAACAGGATCAGATTCACGCAAGCATCGTCTCAACACTTCTGGCTCTGATGGACGGCCTGTCTGATCGAGGGGAGGTGATTGTGATTGGTGCCACAAACAGAATTGACGCCATTGATCCAGCCTTGAGGCGACCTGGGAGATTCGACAGAGAGCTCTTCTTTCCATTGCCTGCGATGAAGGAAAGGCTGGAGATTCTGAAGATTCATGTGGCTAAATGGCAGACCCCACCCACTGAAGAATTACTCCAAGTTCTTGCTGAGAAGACAACTGGCTATTGTGGGTCTGACCTGAGGGCTCTGTGCACTGAAGCTGTCCTCCAGGGGCTGAGGAGAACCTACCCTCAAATATATAGAACGAGCAATCGACTGCTGCTTGATCCACAGAGGGTGGAGGTCAAGAAGAGGGACTTCATCGAGGCCAGTTCGATTCTTGTGCCTTCGTCACACAGAGTGGCTCCCAGTGTCAGCAGGAAACTCCAGCCGTTTCTCATTCCGCTGTTGGGACCTGCTTTGGAGGATCTGGTCAATGCTGTGAAGGCCATTTTTCCTCAGGGGATCAATCCTGCATTGGCGAAGATCAAGGTGGCTAAGGGGATTCACAGGCCTAGGATGTTGGTCACTGGGGATGACAGGTATGTGATGAGTTTCTCATGGTTTGTGGGGTTTTAATTATGTGGTCGAGGGAATGAACATCTTTCCGGGTTCACCTTTAAGGATGTTCGACACCCTTTTAGCCAAAATTGACGTTGTTTTCATTTTTCTGGCAAATTATCGATGGGAGTGACGTGAAAAAATATAACGATTTTGTGGTTTGTCATTCTTTAATGGCTCACGAAGTTGCGTAGTGGTGCGATAATTTTCATGCGTTTTTTCTACAGTTTTGTGATTCTTTTTAAAAGTTTAGAGAAAACGCAGGAAAATGTTCGCACCACCTTAAAATTTCGTCAGTCATTAAATAATGACAAAACGCAAAAACGTTATATTTTTTCACGTCAATTCCATCATAAGTTTGCCAGAAAAAGTAAAAAAACGTGAATTTTGGCAGAAAGGGTGTAGAACATCCTTAAGGTACTTTCACAGTAAGTATACTTGGTAAAAATTTCGAAATGGTATAAAGACGCAAGATTTGGATCATATGTTGTTGACCACATTAAAAAGATATTCCCAAAATTTCAAGTCCCTGGTCCACCCCATTTTTGAGATATGCATCGCCAAACATTCAATTTTTGGGTTTTTTCCATTTTTGACGATGTATATCTCGAAAATGGGGCGGACAAGGTACTTGAAATTTTGGGAATAGTTTTAGAATGTGCTCAACAACATATGATCCAAATATTGCGTCTTTACACCATTTCGAAATTTTCACCAAGTATACTTACTGCGGAAGTTCCTTAAGCTTTCTAGCCCGGTGGCTTGGCGCAGTGGGTAAGTTCGTTGCCTCACATGCGAAAGGTTCAGAGTTCAAAACCCGGCCGGGAAGAATCGTGCGATCTAACCATTTAAAGTCTCGATTATCATCGCAGCTCACCCCAACCGGGTGGAAGTGGTGTAAAATATCGATAAAAAAAAGTTTAAGCTTTCTGGTTGGATTCATTGAGCTCTCGGTATCAGACGTTCAAGTGAAAGTTATTTTTGTTAATAGTCTCTTGGTACTGTCAAAATGGTCGAGGGAATGAACATCTTTCCGGGTTCACCTTTAAGGTACTTCCGCAGTAAGTATACTTGGTGAAAATTTCGAAATGGTATAAAGACGCAATNCAAATTATCGATGGGAGTGACGTGAAAAAATATAACGATTTTGTGGTTTGTCATTCTTTAATGGCTCACGAAGTTGCGTAGTGGTGCGATAATTTTCATGCGTTTTTTCTACAGTTTTGTGATTCTTTTTAAAAGTTTAGAGAAAACGCAGGAAAATGTTCGCACCACCTTAAAATTTCGTCAGTCATTAAATAATGACAAAACGCAAAAACGCTATATTTTTTCACGTCAATTCCATCATAAGTTTGCCAGAAAAAGTAAAAAAACGTGAATTTTGGCAGAAAGGGTGTAGAACATCCTTAAGGTACTTTCACAGTAAGTATACTTGGTAAAAATTTCGAAATGGTATAAAGACGCAAGATTTGGATCATATGTTGTTGACCACATTAAAAAGATATTCCCAAAATTTCAAGTCCCTGGTCCACCCCATTTTTGAGATATGCATCGCCAAACATTCAATTTTTGGGTTTTTTCCATTTTTGACGATGTATATCTCGAAAATGGGGCGGACAAGGTACTTGAAATTTTGGGAATAGTTTTAGAATGTGCTCAACAACATATGATCCAAATATTGCGTCTTTACACCATTTTGAAATTTTCACCAAGTATACTTACTGCGGAAGTTCCTTAAGCTTTCTAGCCCGGTGGCTTGGCGCAGTGGGTAAGTTCGTTGCCTCACATGCGAAAGGTTCAGAGTTCAAAACCCGGCCGGGAAGAATGGTGCGATCTAACCATTTCAAGTCTCGATTATCATCGCAGCTCACCCCAACCGGGTGGAAGTGGTGTAAAATATCGATAAAACAAAGTTTAAGCTTTCTGGTTGGATTCATTGAGCTCTCGGTATCAGACGTTCAAGTGAAAGTTATTTTTGTTAATTTTTGTTAGCCTCTTGGTACTGTCAAAATGATTAAAATGTCATAGTAGGCGACCTCTGAATGAGCACAGATACATTTACCTTACGTGTTAGTCGTCTAAATTCTCAATAACACGTTCCTCACAGGTCTCACGGCCAAGGCCCCAGACTAGCCCAGGCTCTACTGTACAGAATGGAGCACGTACCAGTGCAGACACTCGACGTCAGCACGTTATTCGCGGAGAGTGCGAGATCACCCGAGGAGACCTGCGTCCAAGTGTTCAACGAGGCGTCCAGAAACATCCCCTCGATTATCTACATCAGATCCATTGACCAGTGGTGGCCACTGGTCCCCGAGACTGTCAAAGCGGTATTCATGTGCAGAATTGCAGCCCTCGATCCCTGTCTGCCTATTCTGATCCTAGCTACGAGTGATGTGGACTATCGAGAGCTACCGCCCAAGGTGAAGAATCTGTTCAGCGAGCTGAGGGGCGAGGTGTACACTATGAAGAGTCCCGGGTTGGAGCAGAGGGAGGAGTTTTTCAGGCCTATTTTTGTGGAGCAGAGTCTGAAGGGACCCATGGTAAAGGACGACAAGGTGAAGGAGATGGAGGAGCTGCCACTGGCGCCTGATCCCATGCCAAAGAAACTTAGTGAGGAGGAGGTGAAGGTCCTCAGGGAGAAGGAGGAGGTGTCGTTGAGGGAACTGAGGATCTTCTTGAGGGAAATCTGCGCGAAACTCGCCAGGAATCGACAGTCAGTATCGTTTTGGAGGGAAATTTGTTGAGAAATTTTAGGGAAATTGTTGGGTCAACTGATTTAAGAAAGGCCAGGAGATGTTGAAGATTTAATCAAGACGTTGATTTAATTGTTATAGAGCACTATTCCCTGACCTTTCTTGAATTAATATCAGGGAGATGAGAACAATTCAGTAGCGAAGTGGTAAAACGGTACAGGTCAATTTTGATTATTGACCTGTTTTCAATGAATATCTCGAAATCTAAGGGAGACAGCACGATTTTTGTTATAACCTTTCTTGTAGAGCCGATTGAGAGCTACAAGAAATGTGATTACGAAAATTTCGCTATCTCTCTTAGAGCATGAAATATTCCTCAAAAACTCAACTAGGAGATTGGTCGACTTAAACCGTTTTACCACTTCGCTGCTGAATTATTGGGTCAAGTTCTGGAAACTGGAGAGTTTAAACTGGCAAAAATTATTGACTGAAATTTCCAGAACACTTCCATTGATCTCATGAAAAAATCCATTAATTTTTTTTTTTTTGGAAACTCCAAATTTTAGGTCAATTATTTGATGAACATTGATAGACGTAAAAAAAGAAATTTCCAGAGCACTTCCATTGATCTCATGAAAAAATCCATTAATTTTTTTTTTTGGAAACTCCAAATTTTAGGTCAATTATGTGATGAACATTGATAGACATTATTAGGGAAATTCGGGTGAATATGTTCTTGAATTTTTAATTGAGGTATAACCCTATAAAAGAGATTTTTATTACGATGTCCCTGTGGTTTTCAGAGATAAGGTTTATAATACTCCCCAGCTAATGAAAAAATGCTATCTAGATGTACTACACAGTCTAGGAGATGCAGTGACATTATTTCAGTTCATATTTTATAAAAAATTACTGAAAATTTTCAATAGACTTTTTTGAGTTTTAAAAATTTAAACAATTTATGCAAATGCAAGTAATTGCAAAATAATTTATTATTATTCTTTTTGGCAGATTCTTCATGTTTACGAAGCCCGTGGATACAGAGGAAGTACCAGACTACAATTCAATTATCAAACAGCCTATGGACCTCGAGACTATGATGACGAAAATCGATATGCACTGTTATCTCTGCGCCCGAGATTTCCTGGATGACGTTGATCTCATTTGTAGAAATGCACTGGAGTACAATCCTGACAGGTATGAACAGAATCACCAGATGGTTCCATACATTCAATGATAAATGAGCAAAATAATAAAGGAGGTGGTCTCCATTTTTCAAATTAGTTTCAAATAATTTTTCCAAATCTGTCAGCGATCGTTATCACTTAATTGGCTTTAATCAATTACAAGATTTTTAATTCTCTGATGAATGGAATTATCAATCGGATATACGAATATCAAGAGAGAGGAAAGAAAATGTGTCAGATTGTCATTTAAAAAATTTTATTTTCTCAGAAAATTTGATAAATATCGCACAAATTAGTGAAATTGTAGCAAGTGAAAAAATTCTCTTGGAGAGTGATGTTTTTTTCATTAAGAATATTCAAGTATTTTTCACAGTTTGGTACAGATCACATTGAATATAGATTCAACCATTTTCAATCATGAAATTTGTCAATTAAATTGCGTTAAAAAAATTTGAAGAAAATCATGAATATTCAGCGTCATTAAAATTACATTTTGCACAGAATTATTTTTTTTAACACTCGTTGTTTATAAAGAAATAATTGAAATTGTTTAAACTTTCGGAACCCTAATTTTTTTAGGCATGAAATCGATTTCTGGTAAAATTCTGAGTATGAATAAATTTGTTACGATTCAGAACAGATGATTTTTATGATGGAAAATTGATTGTTTATAAATTCTTTATAGAAAATGCACGTAATTTAAAAAAATTGCAATTTTTAAATTATATTTTCTAACGGTTCAATATCGAGATTGAAATTCAGAGCCGTAAAGTTCAAATAATAAAATCATTGTACAATATCCGGGACTTTTGGATCAAATGGGGCTCAAATGAATGCTCAGGTGTTCGACTACGAAAGTAGAAAAGCATTTCACTGGAGAAAAATAGCCAAAGTACTTGGATATCCTTAAATCACTCGTCAAAGAATATTAGTATTGATTATGCAAGTGGAGTTAACCATCTTCTTGAAAAAAACCAATAAACCACCAGTGATGACATCTGAACAATAAACGTATGAAACTCACTGAATAATTCTTGTTTCATTCAGCTTGCGCGATAGGCCCTCCCTTGGGATACTGAAGAGGTAGTCTCACTCCATTTCACCTCTGATGCCTTATTATATCGTAGATCAATGATTTTCAGTTGTGAAACCCTACACTATGCCAACTGAAAAACATTTTAGAAAGCCCTTTCACGGAAAGAGAATTCTGACATCAAGAATTCGAAAGTTCGAAGAACTATTTTTTAAACAACAGAAGAGTTCAATCTAAATATTCTTTAATCTAAGAGAGATGAAAAATGCTTCATTAGAAAATATCTTGATAGAATAAATTGTACAGAAAAATCGAATTCTATTGATTTTTCCTACAGAATATTTTCTATTGAACATTTCTATTGAAAAATTCCCCAAAAATAGATTCTTTTTTCTAGAAAAATTCAGTAAAATTTCAATCTTCTGTACAACTTCGTTTATTGAGACATTTTCTATAAAACTTCCTCGGAATGAATTTCCCAAATTTTTCCCACTCTATTTCTTTTCCTTTTTTATAAAAAAATTCAAATAAAAAATTTAGATATTAAGATAAAATTAATAAACGTTCTGTGGAAAATATCTCAGTAGAATAAATTGTACAGGAAAATCGAATTCTATTGATTTTTCCTACAGAATATTTTCTATTGAACATTTCTATTGAAAAATTCCCCAAAAATATTTTTTTTTTCTAGAAAAATTCAGTAAAATTTCAACCTTCTGTACAACTGTTTATTGAGACATTTTCTATAAGACTTGCTCGGAATTAATTTCCCAAATTTTTCCCACTCTATTTCCCTTCCTTTTTTTATAAAAAAAATCAAACAAAAAACTTAGATATTAAGATAAAATTAATAAACTTTCTGTGGAAAATATCTCAGTAGAATAAATTGTACAGGAAAATCGAATTCTATTGATTTTTCCAATAGAATATTTTAAAAATCTTTAGGAAACGCGCGATTAATCCGGAAGTTAATGCTTCACCCCTAACGACCCTTTGATCATCGATGCATTTTCCAGGTGCTCCGACAATATTTCAGAATATTCTAGACTTTTTTTTTCAATTTCAGGCCCGGGTGGATTATCTTTCGAACGTGATCATGGTTGTTTTTTTTATTTTGATAATCTGAAATGATCTCCAATTGCTATTCAATTTTACATAGCCCTGGAGTCTCTAATAATTGTAATTATACAATAAAAAAAAACGTTGAAAAAAAGCTAAAAATTTCCAAAGGTCGTTTTTGAATAATATTGGGAATTAAACTCAATAGGTAGGAAATTGCAAATTAATAAGTTAATTAATAGTTAGTTACCATGATAAATTATCCATTCACTATTTCCTCTCTATGGTACTTATTTAATCGTTATTAAAAACGCTCTTCGAAAATGTTCAGTTTTTTTTCAACTGTTTTCTATTATACAATCATAAATTTTAGGGACTCCTGCGTGACGTAAAATCCAATGGAAATTGTGATACATTTTAAATTATGAAGAAAACAATCGATATAACGTTCGAAGTATAATTCACCCGGGCCTTCAAGGCGCAAAAAAATAGGAATGCACTAGTCCCTTAAAAATATTTACTCTCTGGATCAAGAATAATCTTTCCGTGTTTCTCCCTCAATACCTTCCTCCCTCCCCCTGCTCAACCCCAGACTAATCCTCCTCTCCTCAACAGAGACCCAGCAGATAAGCTGATCCGTCATCGTGCCTGCTCCCTCCGCGACAATGCCTACGCCCTCATCAAAGCCGAACTCGACTCTGACTTCGAGGACAAGTGTCGAGAGATATCGAAGAGTCGCAGGGCCCCTGAGGATCTCGAGCCCGAGGGCAATACCCGAGCAACGAAGCCCGAAAACGGCACTAACGACAGTAAAACCGAGAAGAACTCGAGTCCTGGGGCTTCGGCGGTGCTGAACGGCCGGAAATTGAGCACCTCGAGGAAGAGAAAGGTGCCAGCTTGGGCCAGGGGCTACGTGAAGAAGGTCACGAAGAAGAAGAAGATCATGTTCGAGGAGAATCCGAACGACAGTCCACCGAAGGGAAATAATGGCACTAGAGTTGTGGATCTGGAGAAATTCCAGGAGTTCGAGGCTAATGCTGTTGTGATGAATGGGGACTCAACTATTTACGACAACACTGAGTCTGAGAATGAGTCGGTTAACGAGGGTAATCACAGGGAAGTCGTTATTGGGAGTCAGGTGGAGGTGATTAGTGATAAGGGGGAGAAGGAGGGGGAGAGCAAGGAGGAGAAACCGGTGGAGGAGAAGCCTGTGGAGAATGGTGAGTCACACAGCTCCTCCAGGAGGGAGAGCACTGATGATCTCACATTCGCTGTCGACTGCGATTCTAGTCCAAAGAGGATGGGCGAGGAGAAGGTGGTCGTCGATGAGGGGGAGCTGCAGGAGGCGTGGAGGCACACGGTGGATGTTACCAGGGAACTGCCTGTTGAGGTACTGTGCGATATCTATGTACAGCTCAGCAGGTGTGTTGGGAAGTATGATAAGAGTTACGACAGGAGGACACTGCCAAAGGTGAGTTTAAGTTGTGTGAATATAGCTTGAATTTTTAAGACTGAATTGAAATCTGATTTTCAGACAGCTGTATAACGGCTTTTTTTATTAATGAGTATAGGTAATTCAATGAATTTGAAACATCAGATCTGAAGAAACCGTTGAAAAATTCACTTTCAGGAAAATAAAAATTTTTTTTGGAAATTATCACACGAAAAAATTATGTAACGAGATTTTTAGTCTTAGTACAATGCCTCAGTTAAAACTATGATTTTTTAAAAATCATTAATTTAATTCTGGAAACTAACAAGTTTTTTCAACGGTGTAATTATTATCAAATGATTGATTTTAATCAAATGATTCATTTAGGTATTTAAAAAAAATAATAATGAGTAATATAATCAATAAATTCATCTGTAAATGTACCACTGGATTAGAATATCTACATGATAAATTCAATAATTCATTAGATCCATTGAATTATCAGTGAGCAGTTGAAATTTAATTCTGTTTTCTCATTTATCAACAGGATTTGCTCAAGGAACTACAGAGATTCGAAAATCCCGCCGATAATCCAATGGACACGTCTGAGAGAGAATGTAACGGTTAAAACTCTGTAAAAAAAATCAATACGTATCATTAATGTCACTCATTTCGACAATTGGATCTCACTGCTGCGCATCACGTTCCACCGAAACTGCCGAAATCATGGACAATTATTTTTCGCCGTCTACTCGTCCTCGTCAACAATATTTTTGTCATGATCGATGAAAATTGTACATAATTACCTTACTTTTGTATTTTCGTTCTTTTGTATTTCGTATTATGAATTCTGCGGAGATTCTGAATAATTCAAATGCAGTTGTTCATGTAATTTAAGATCTTCGTGATTATTATGATCTTTATTATTACAGTACAATCATTTTTTATCTTTAAATGCTTGTACTTACTCGTTTGTTCCTCTTTTTTTTCTTTTTTTTCTTTTTTTTTTTATATAGAAACCAAATGTCTCGATCGAAAGGCAATTTATGATAATTAGGAAAATTTCATTGCCAATTAGATTGTAAATTCAATTTTGAATGAATAGTTGTCTGATAATTGAAATTAAAGATGTGGAAATTTAATTGCAGAGTCGATTTTTCACATTTTTTTCGGTAAATTTTCATTAATTCGAACACTAAATCTCTATTCGTTCATTATTTATTGTAAAATTATCTCGCTAACGAGTGATTTCGCGAGAAAATGTCTCGACATGAATGAGTCGTCATAAAATGAAATAAAACAAACCAAAAAATAAATTTCTAAAGTTTCTAAAAAGATGATTAAAAAATGAAAAACCATTCGAGACACTTCTCCAAAATTCTCGTTCGTTTTAATATAAGTATTGTTCATTGTTCGCATAATTACACTGCCCTGTTCATCCCACAATAAACAAAAATAATAAACGAAATTAATGAATACTTCATCACTTAACATGAAGGAGCATGAACATTCCAACGGAATAATCGTTAAATAAGGGAAGAGTGGAAGCCAATCATCCTCGTTACCTCAACATCATCATTAATTTATTTAAAAAAATCATGAAGATAATGCCAAGTCAATGAGCTTCCAGTCAACCACTGCCGACGTTATTGAATGCAATTTTATTTTTCTCTAACTGTCTCTGTTCTCAATAATTGTATTTAGTTTATAAGTGATATAAAAGAACATTATTAACTCGTGAATAATTGATGCAGTCATTGAACGTTCAATTTATGTAAATGAAACGTTCGAGGGTAATTTAAGCGTTTAATGACTGGAATGATAATACAGACTCACTCACAACGTTACATAATAATAAGTATAAAATCGGATTGTATGCGATTAAAAGTGTATACACTGCCTTATTTATTGTAACACATAAGTACACTATTTGTTATGTGAGGAAAGTGGATGAAGGAAGGAACCAAGGCGAGGAATAAACATTAGAATTTGATAATTTGATTTTGATGACTTGTGTTTTTTTTTGTTTTCGTAGGAATTGAAGTTTTGACTTTTTCCCCAGGGTTCATGGGGGAAGTAAAAATTTGATACATTTTGGATGTTGATCTGGAATATCCTGAGGAACTGCATGATGAGCAAAGAATACAGTGGTTTTCAATGGTTTTAAGGATATCGAATTATCTGTTACAGTTTGGTACAGATCACACTATAGATTCAACCATTTTCAATCATCAAATTTGTCAATTAAATTGTGTGAGTAAAATTTGAAAAAAAAAATTGAATATTCAGCGTCATTCAAGTAACATTTTGCACAGAATTATTATGATTTTAACATAAATAAATGATTGTGTTTAAACATTCGGAAACCTGGTAAAATTACTGGTAAAATTCTAAATATGAATAAATTTGTTACGATTCCGAACAACTGATTTATCAAAAGAGCTCGTAATTTTAAAAAATCACAACTTTTAAATTATTTCATCAATCGTCTTCCAAAGGTAAATTTTCTAATTTTTTTTTCACATTTAAAATGGTTTCTAACAGTTCAATATCGAGATTCAAATTCGGACCTGCAAAGTTTAAATAATAAAATCATTATAAAATGTCCGAAAACTTCGGGACAAATGGGGCTCAAATGAAAGCTCTGGTGTTCGATTACAAAAGCAGAAAAACATTTCACGGGAGAAAAATTGTGAAATTACAATTTCATTTGAGCAATTGTGAGGGTCAAGGGTCAATTATAAGGGTAAACAATCAAAAGGTCTCTCATGCTCTCCCGTTTGACCCTTTGCCCCTATTTGCCTTAAAAAACGAAAGAAACCTCCATTAATCTGTCAATTACTTCGGTAATGAACGACTCTAGCAGAAAACATGATAATATATTTTTTATTGGAAATTTTGTGTTCTACAAATAAGATTGAGTGACATTTTCCCGCAAACCCATTAGTTTGAGAGATATTTGTGAAAAATTCAATAGAATTGAATGATTTAATTCCCCTGACCTGAAATGAGTTGCACCCTCTCAGTTTTTATATCCTTTCCGCTGGCTTTTCACACTTCAAGTGTTTCTTGAAGTTGGTTGGCCACTGGGGAAACGTCAAATATGAAATTTTATTGTTAAAAAACGGAAAAATTTAATTTAGAAGTTATTTCGAAGTCAAATCTCGCGGGTCATGAAAATTCATTCATAACAGCAAAGAAGAGTGATAAAATTCTGTGATAAAAAAATATTCATTTGGGGTTTAGAAAATTTTGCATTATCAGGATGACAACGCAGAAGGATTTCTCATGCATTGGGGGGTTGGAGAAACATATTAAAATTGTTAAGGATATGGTGTTGTTTCCGCTGATGTATGGATGGGTTTATTCGAAATTTCATCTGAGGCCTCCGAGGGGGTTATTGTTTTATGGACCACCAGGTAATTCCAAAAATTCAAGATGAGTATTGTTTTGGATTTCCCTAATTATCGTTAATTTTCATTGAATTTTTGCACTGAAATTGACAATTTAGATTGACTTTTTCATGAAATTGTAAATTGTTTATGACAAAATTCCTCAACATTTCAGTAGAAATGTCATTTAGGCGGAAACATCATGGAATTTCAAATTGCACTGAAAATTCAAAGAAAATCCAAACTTTTGAGCAACCGAAATACAAGAATTCCCCAATTTTTTGAATCTCGAAGTTGAAACACGCATGAAAAAATTCAATAGAAAACCTAGCGAATTCGCTAGAAAATTCTATTGGAATTCTATGGCTTTTCTACAGGATTTCTATTGGAATTTTATTGAAAAATTCTATTTGATTTTGTTTTTTGCGCTGATTCTATTGGATATTCAATAAGAAAAAGTCAATAGATTCCGAATTTCTGTTTGGAATTTTCTCTTGAGATTTTTTCTATAAGAATGCTTGGGCATTAATTTTCTAATTTTTTTCCACTCGGATTCTGTAATGCAAAATAAAACAAAATCCAGCGGAAAATACTCTGAAAATTTGTGCCCAATAATTCTAATAGATCTAAAACTCAAGAGAAAAATTTCAACAGAAATTGGAAATTTATTGACTTTTGCTTATCAAATATCTAATAGAATATCAGCGCAAAAAACAAATACAATTCCAATGGAAATCTTATAGAAACTCCATAGAATTCCTGTAGAATTCCAATAGAATTTTCTAGCGAATGCGCTAGGTTTTCGACTGAATCTGTTCTAATGGAATGTGGGTGCAAGTGAATAAATAAATGTGGCAAAACAATGAGATATTTTATTAAAATCTCGTTGTTTGCCCGAGGAAGGTACTAGGGGACCGCTGTTCTGAGACTAAAGGCACTAACCAAGTGAAAACTCTCACTGTGAAAATGAAAATCAAAATAATAAAGTTTTACGAATCAAGAGGACACAGTCCTTCAAATTTCAGCGTATGTTTAGGATTAAACCGCTCTCCAGTATAGAGCACAACAGATCGTAAATTAGTCTCTTTCTAGAACTGTTTTCCTAGTATGTCATAAATCTTTCTCGAGTAGTTTTTGTAAAATAACACAAGAGTTGTGCTCGAATATTATTATAGTACAACGTATGTAGTACCAAATTTATTTGAAAAAAATTTATTTGAATCTCGAAGTCAAAAACATAAATATTTCCTACTAAATTGAGCTGAATTCTCAATGAATTCAAATTTCTTTGATATTTACTCGAATTTCCTCAATTTCAATTCATTTTCATGGAATAATTGAACTGAAACTGCCAATCCCGATTGATTTTTTCATAAAATTGTGAAATTTCAACCGAAAATTTCATAAATTGTCCATTTCACTCCTTAAAAACATGAAAAAATATACCAATGACGGTGGCCGAAGTGGTTCAATCCCTGGGCCGAATTAAATGTTGTAACAAAAAAAAATTTCTTCGCCGGACGGCGGGGCCCGTAGGGAGCGGGTTCGAGTCCGGCTCGGGGCAAATTGGGATTTTTAATCTTTCGGAAACCGTTGATCTGGAGTTTAGACCCCGGAAATCCTCGAGATTGAATGTTTGGAGAACATTCTGCCAATATTTTCCATGGTTTCCCTTGGTCACCAGGAGATTTTGTACATGGACTACAGTTCCTGGGGTACAATGCGACATGGAGGTCTTGATCAGTTTCTGATCGAGACCTGAACAAAATTTCCACATGGGTATGAGTCAATTTGAGAGTGAAATTCGTGTCCTGGTAGCTCAGATGGTAAGAGCACCCGACGCGACATTGGGAGGTCCCGGGTTCGTTTCCCGGCTAGGAAGTTACTAATTTTTCTCTCAAAAAATTAAATTTAATTAATGCCTAATGATGGAAGGCGGAGAAACCCTAGTGGAAAAACATAAGGCAGAGACGTAACATGCCTGATCAGAATTTCGGATTGGACTTGATCAGTTTCTGATCGAGACCTGAACAAAATTTCCACTCGGGATGGGACCATAAAAAGCCTAATCGACTCTATGTGAATGGCAAAAAAAACTAATAAAAAATATCAGGAACCGGAAAAACATTGGTGGCAAGTGCGCTAGCAGTAGAATGCAGCAACGCCGATCGAAAGGTGTCCTTCATCTCCCGAAAGGGATCAGACTGTCTGTCGAAATACGTAGGGGAGAGTGAGAAGAAACTCCAGAAGATCTTCACAATGGCGCAGCAGAGCAAACCCTGCATAATTTTTTTCGACGAAGTGGATGGTCTGGCTCCAGTGCGAACGAGTCGACAGGATTTCGTTCATGCGAGTGTCGTATCGACTCTCTTGGCACTGATGGACGGCTTGGATAACAACTCGGAAATCATCGTGATCGGGGCGACCAATAGATTGGACGCCATCGATCCTGCTCTGAGAAGACCCGGGCGGTTCGATAGGGAGCTTTATTTTCCATTACCCTGTTACACCGCGCGGAAGGATATTTTGTCTGTAAGGATCTTGCATAACATGATCGGAATGGAAATGTACACGATGAAAAAATTCAATAGAAAAACTCAGCAAATTCGCAAGGAAATACTATTGGGGTTCTATTAAAATTCTAGGGAATTCTCGTTAAAATTCTGTTTGTTTTTTGCGCTGATTCTATGAGATATTTGATAGGAAAACATCAATAGATTTCGATTTTTCTGTATGAATATTCTCTTGGAATTGTTGGATTCCGGGTGAAAGGAAAGTGTTCACTTTAAATATACCGAAAGCTTTATTAGACTTGAATACAAATACTGAATATAGCTCTTTGGATATGTTCCTGAAGAGACGTTAACTCTATGACAGTTCGAATAATCCCAGCAAACAGTATGTCGACAAATTGCCGATGTCTTGTTAAATTTGAGATGGCACTGGCAAAAATTGTTTTCTGGGATTCTTGTTGAGTTGGAGTACAGAGGGTTTTTATCTAAGTCTTCTGAGGGTGGATAAGTTTCTGAGGGTGCACTGATAGAACGGATTAGTTATTGTTAACGAATGGATTTTGGTTGGAGGTGAGGGTCTATTCGGTTCCACCAAATGTTCATTCGTTAATAGTTAACGAATGTACATTTGAGGAGCCTTGTTTGACTTGACTTTCGCCATTCAAGTGAACCATTCGTTAACTATTAACGAATATTCATTTGGTCATATTCAACTCTACTATTCGTTAATAGTTAACGAATCTCGTTTGGAATAAATGAATCATTCTATCAGTGTGGGTGAGGAGTTCATGCTATTAAGGTTTTGGGAAAGTACCGGATTAGAGACCTACGGAATTGAGGTGTCGGGAAAGTCCCGGATTAGGGCCCCGAGGTACGGGAAAGTCCCGAGAAAGCAATTAGGCGCGCCCGAAGGATTTTTGGTGAAAAGGATGATAAAATGATTTGTTGGGTTCTCGAAGTTTGCAGGATTAAAATAATAAAATGTAATAAAGTAATTAGGAATGGAGATATTCTATTCGGTGGACATTTGGAGATGTATTGAGCTTTGGGAAAACTAATTCTAAGGACATAGTAGGTATACAACTGAATTTTTTCTAGAAGAATCCTTGGGCATGAATTTTCCAAGTGTCTTTCACTCGGATTCTGTAATGCAAAGCAAAACAAAGTATAGCGGAAAAACTTGAAAAATCCGTGCCCAATAGTTTTAGTAGAAAAAATCTCAAGTGAAGTAAATATTTTTGATATGGTAAAGATTCATTTAAAACACTCCCTATTTAATAATTTGAAGAATGGAAATTCGTCCGTCATCACAAAGATGTGATATCAAGCAAACAATTTAGTGATCAATTAATAATTATGTGTCTCAATCGGTTGAGTGCTCTCGCCCACGGCCGTCCCGTTTCCTTATGGGGACCTCAAACCGAGGTTCGTCATTTTTTTAGACTACATCGAGATCTGCACCGCCAACTGATCGATTGCTGAGAGGATATTTACGCTAAAGTACGCCAGCACCTCTCCGAACAAAGCCATCTCAGTCCCGAGTTATGATCATTCGGTCCCAGTATGTTAAGTGTAAAAAATCTCTCCACACAAGAGAAAGATTCAAACAGAAAAATCGAAATCTATTGACTTTTCCCTATTAAATATCTAATAGTCTGTGCAAAAAACTAATAGAATGTTACAGAGAATTAGATAGAATTTTTATAGAACCCCCATAGAATTTCTAGAGAATTTCAATAGAATTTTCTAGTGAATTCACTAAGGTTTTCTATTACACTTTTTGATACGTGTATGTAAAGAAATGGGAGATGGTTCTAGCGTTTTTGCCTCCGAAAGAAAGCATTGTATTCGTAAAATGCAAAATTTCTAATTTTGCATTTGACGATTGCATTTTGTGTCAGGATAACTAATGTTCGCCTCAGGAGTTCGAATGTGCTATTTTCAGGCCATGCGATTGATTGCATCATCTGTTGTTAAAAAAATTTATTTTGAGACCAATATTCAGGGAAAAGTAAAAAATTTAATGTTACACTAAGAGAAAAATCGACATGATATCACAAAAATCATTTCTTGCGCGAAAAACATCGCATACATATTTGATCAATTTATGGTAGGTTTCAGTTACGTTACTGAATGAAAAGGTGGTCTTTTTTCTCGAAATGAGATAATATTCCTTAAGGAACTTCCGCAGTAAGTATACTTGGTGAAAATTTCGAAATGGTATAAAGACGCAATATTTGGATCATATGTTGTTGAGCACATTCAAAAACTATTCCCAAAATTTCAAGTACCTTGTCCACCCCATTTTCGAGATATACATCGTCAAAAATGAAAAAAAACACAAAAATTGAATGTGTGGCGATGCATATCTCAAAAATGGGGTGCACCAGGGACTTGGAATTTTGGGAATATCTTTTTAATGTGGTCAACAACATATGGTCCAAATATTGCGTCTTTATACCATTTCGAAATTTTCACCAAGTATACTTACTGTGAAAGTACCTTAAAAGACAAGAATAGTTTGACAGAAGGAAAACAAGGTATTGCTTCCCTTCGACCTCAAAGCGATTGAGCGTAAGCGACGGTTAGGTATATTTTTTTAATGTCTGCAGATTTTCTTCTGCATAAACTCTCTATTCATTCAATATGAAAGTCTCTGATTCATGATTCACTGAATCGGAGCTTTTAATATTTCTCAACATTTTCTCATCTTCTGACACGAAAAAACCGATTTCTTGTGGCAAGAAATTCTCACTTTATCATGAAATGTTCATGTTCAAGTCATGAACACTTCACCGAAATCTGACATTGTCCGACACACTGTCCGGAATTCTTATCCCAAGAAATTTATCCTCAAGAGATGAGATGTTTGGCGCAAGAAAATAGTTTTGTGATATTATGACGATAATTTGGTTCCCCCATAAAAAAATACAAAAAAATATATGGGTCAATTCCATATATTTTTTAAATTTATAATGAGTATATGAAATATATGCTTTATATATATATATTTTTTTTTTATATACATTGGGTCAATTTAAGGTATTGAATTATATATTTTTCAAAATGTAAATTTTTCCGTGTGAGCTGACAACGTTGGGACAATGTCAACTACGTTAATTAAAATGTCTTTTATTATCTCATTGGTATGAAATTCTTCAGGTTCACGTGAAGAATTGGAAGCAGAAACCGGCGGTCAAATTCATAGCTTATCTGGCCTCCAAGACGGTGGGCTATTGTGGGAGTGATTTGCAGGCACTGTGTGCTGAGGCCGTCATGTGCTGTGTCAGGAGACATTATCCGCAGATCTATACGTCCAAGGCGAAACACCAGATCAATGAGAGAGCTTTAAAAGTAATTGCTTGGGGATGGGGACTTTTTTAGAATGTTATTTTGAAAAAATCTTGAGAATGAGTCGATTTAGAGGAAAATATCATAATAACTTTTTTGGGGAGGACTAAATTCCCTACAAATCACATCTTGTGGAATTTTTTCCTAAACCTCTTCCGAAGGAAGATATTTACAAAATAGTGTCGGAGATAAAGGCAAGATGAAGCAGCAAAAACAAATATATAGCGCAAGCCAGGAAACTTTTTTCATCTTCGTAAGGGAAGTAGGGGCAAAGGGTCGAACGGGAGAGCAAGAGCGGCATTTTACTTTTCCCTTCCGATACCTCCACCCGTCTCTCCCGTTTGATCACGGGTGAAAAAAAACTAGCGAATTCGCTAGAGAATTATATCGGCTTTCTATTGAATGGTCTATTAAATGTTCTATAAAATGTTCAATACAAAAAAATTCAATAAACTTCGGTTTTTCTATACAACTTATTCTATTGAAATATTTTCTATAGAATTTCCTCCCCCAAATTTTTCAGGTTTTTTAGTTTGTCTTGATGGAGAGAAAAGCAAAATGGAATGAAAAAAATTAGAAAAGTTGAGCCGACGAAATTCTATCGAAAATATTTGAACAGAATAAATTGTATAAAAAAATCGAATTTCAGTTACTTTTTCTATAGAATATTTTCTATTGAACTTTTTAATGAAATTGCCTAGCGATTTCGCTAGATTTTTCTATGAAATTTCTTCGTGCGTGATTCTTTCCTAAATAATTTAATAATTTTTTCAACATAAAATATCAGGAGATATGTCATCTCCTGAAGTCCAGAGATCGACACAAATATTATTTTCACCAATATTTACACTGCAAATACATATTTTTTACTTAGTAGCTAATAACGTGTAAATATTTTTCATTATATTATGAATGAGTATTGAGAAATTCACATTTTTCAAATACCTATCAATGTGTAATGATTAACAATAAAAAACTATTATTTATCTCATCAGGAATTACACTTGAATATTTTAGAGTAATCATTCAATCAATAATCAAATCAAAAATATTTCTCAATATTCATCAAATCAATAATGAAAACAAAAATACTTTCATTATTCTGTTAATGGGTAATGTTGACCGTCAAAATATTCATTACTGTGACAATGGACAATGATTATCGAAATGTCATTCCTTATTTATTTATTTATTTATTGTTTATTCAAGTCAAACAGCCGAGGCCAACTACAATAGTTATTAAGTGATATGGAAATATAACGTTAGCGAATTACATATTCACATTAGAAAATTAAAGATGCGATATAATACAGAGAAAGAAAATGTTTATAATTATGATGTAATCAGAACTAAAAAGTTCCTCAATTAATCAGTAATTATAGGTAGACATTATTGAATTCTCATCTAATTAATAATGAAATCTATGTCATTAATTGAATATTTTTAAGGAAGAGCTAAAATAAGACAGCAAGTTAAAATTGACAATGAACAAAAAATTAGCAGTTAGGCAGTTAGGTACGTCATACGGCAATCATTTTTCAATGAAGAAGAGAGATTATATAGTATTTCACATCTTGTGACGTCAAAGGATATTACTGGATACGATTAGTATCTATTACTATGATACTAAAAAATTGATTTGGTTTCATTATTCATGACGAAAGAAATTGGGATTTTCTGGTTTTCATTTTCCATTGATACGATAATGAAAATAAATTTTGTACAATTATTGATTGACAAATTATTTGCTTCTTTTTTCACTTTCATTTCTAATTAGTGTCGCAATGAAAACTACATTTGGTATTACTATTCATTACGAAAAAAATTATAATTCAATTTTTGTAATTAACCATTAGTATGGTAATGAAATATTAATATTAATATTAATAATGGAAATTATTTTCCTCCTGATCTCTGCTCCTGAAATCTCATCTACATTTGAAAATTCATAACTGATCCAAATTTATTACCAGCAACTACTCTCATTAACATTTCTCATTCGTCAAAGGTAGAGAAACAAGACTTTATCAAAGCCCAACAGAACATAGTGCCAGCATCGCATCGAGTTTCAGTAATTCCCGTCAAGTGTCTCACTCCCAAAGTATATCCCCTCCTCCAAGACACTCTGTACACAATCCTCACTGTTATCCAGGGGATTTGTCCGTCCGGAATGATGACGTCAGAGAATCCGTAAAGCATTAAATTTCCTAAATTGTAGTCCGCGGTATCGAGTATGTCATGTTTATTGTCATATCAGGGGTAATGAAATTTTATCGACGAGTACGAGATGCCCGAGGCTACTGCTGCACGGGGATGATGACTGTCATACCCGTCATCTGGCACCGGCACTTCTGCACAATCTCGAGCATCTACCCTGTCATGTCCTTGATGTAACTTCGTTATTTGAAGAGACGGGGCGAGCCGCTGAGGAGACTATCATTCAGGTATTCTTGGCTTCATAAATAAATTTATACAATTCAGTAGTGAAGCGGTGAAACGGTTTAAGGGTGCCAAGTGAATTTGAAAAAAGATTCAAAACAAATTTTTTCTTTCCCTCCATCATTGGAGGAATATGTATTCATCCATCCGACGAAATTTCAAACCCGCAACCGGAACTAGACATCGAGAAAATAAATGCGGAAAATCCTCTATTTCGCGTGACGAACCTCGAGAAAGCATGGGATCAAATGGGTACGG